AGTAACTCTCCCCAGGTATGTTCCTTTAGTTCTGTATTAAGCATGAAATTATATTTATATGGTGAACATCAGTTAAAGCTTCCCAGACTACTCAGACAGATAAAGTCATTAAAACTAACTGCCTGCTCAGGAAATTTAAAATCCTTTAGAAAAACAGTGTTCTGAAGGGTTTAAAGCTGCAACACAGAAATTTTTTCTAGAGCTCACCATGTTTCTGTACCCAGCTTTTTTCAAAGCAAGCTTAGATGTGCAAGCCAGAGACTTGCTTGGAGTCACTGAGCACAGGTTCCTAAATCACCAGCCACTAACGTATTCCAGAGCAGTTCTCTGTCAGACTACTCTTCTCCTGCCTTGTAGCAGAGTGGCTGGCTAATTACTAAGTGGAAAAAATTTGGTCTTGATCCTCACCCAGACCCAGGTTAGTGTAGAGAATAGATCAGCCCGTTAGCCAGGATGCCAGCATCTTAACAGAATGAGCTCTTTGCCCTTCAGTAGCCTGTCTTAAGTATCCGTCTCTTATTAAAAAGATAAGAAGTGTTCAGATTGTATGGTTGTAGGAGCTTTTAAGAGTGAGAGTCAGATCATCAGCTGTTCAAGGTGCATACTAGAATGCATAAGGTAATGCTTTCTCAAGCTGCTCTCCTTAGAGGCACAAAACTGCTAACAGTGTTGTACCAGCTGTGTCCCTGGGTCTGAGAAACACCTGCTGTGCATTAACCCAATTTAAATACCCAACTTAAGCCCTTAATAGCAACTGCAACACCTGCTCTGCCCTCTTTCAAATGTTTCTGGATATATCTCCTGCACAGATCATGTCTGCAAGGTTAGTGGTCAAACTGTAGTGTTAAGTGCCTAAAAAATGCATGTGTTATCTTTGATTCTCAACTAAATCATACAAAACTGGTTGTGTAGAAAGTGGTTAGCCTGGAGCACAAAGGATGGAAGCAAAAGGCTGTTAGTCTAAATGGGGTATGTTAATATTTGGATATAATATAGCTCTGAAGACCAGGAGGAGTTGTGCTCTTTTCTAAAGAGTGGCAGTGCAATGGGTTCTTTCTAGTCTAACAAGCTATTTCAGGTTCTTTGTCATGTTAACCACAAAATAATTTAAAAACTATTAAAAATCTCCTTTTGGTTGGGAATTTTCTTCAGCCATTTTCACAGTAGGCTGTGTTTGCTGCTGGCTTCCCTGGATGAGCAGTGAGCTGTGTATATCTCACAGCTTTCGGAGTTCCCTGGCTATTGAATCATCAAGATCTGGATGACCTATGTGCACTGAACCCCGTTGTAAGCAAGGCTATCCCCTCTTTATTCTTTTTTTTATGTGGCCTGTGTTATTCTCTGGAAAAAAAAAGCGCTGTAGCTTTGTGCTGATGAATTAGACTAGTACTGACTAATTTTGAACAGCCTCTCCAGCTTTACGCAGGATTGGCCCCTATGCAGAAGCTACTGGTTTAAGGCAAGGTTTCCAATAAACTTAAGGTGAGCCCATGCAAAAGCCTTTTTGCGGGTTCCTGGTGTTATTTGCAGCAGATCTTATTTTCTGTTAGCTACAGCTACACAGGAGCAGGTTTCAGATATAGTGAAGCAAGCTGTTTAAATTGGGATCTATAAAGAGGCTTCATGTTGACTTTAAGTGACTTTTGAGATTTTAATTGCACTGGTCATTCTTCATGATCAGTAGAGTTGTCAGTCAGAACAACCAGGAAAGTCTGGGTTCAACATGAATCCCACCATGAGATGGCAGCATTGATGCATGCAAGGAGTATCCAAAAGTTCAAATGCTTTTCCCTGAACTGACAGAGGAAAAAAAATTACCTTCATTTAATTGGAAGATATACTGTCTTAGCAATATATAGACAAATGTTAAACAGAATAGTTCTATTTTTAGCTTTTGTCCCTAACTGGCTAATGCAAGTCAGTAAATTAAAAATGCACTTAGGTTTGTGTCCAAATACTTGAGTCACCCTTTGAGCTGGTAACTATTTAAGATGATTCTTTTGTTCAGATGTGGTTATAGTATTAAAAGGCTAGAAAAATAATAGATGCTAATATTGTCATTTCTGCATACCTGCTCTGTAAACTAAAAATAGCTTTGCTTGTAGCTGTAAAATTGAGTTTTGTTAAAGCTTACATCTAAAAATCCTTGAGTCTTTGGTTTCAGTGTTATTGTCTTCCTGCCCTTATGGCATGTATACATGCGCACTGACATGGGGGAGAGAGTCTGAAAACTGGAGAATTGTATTACCTGACCTTGTAAATAGGGAAGGAGCTCGTAGGGCAGCACCCATTTTCCCCCAGAACTTGGTCTGTAGAATCTTGACTCTGTCTTTCTGCTCCTATCAAAAGACAGGAATATCTCCTGGCTCCAGAGCTTGCTTGGAAAAATGAGTGTGGGCTCTGTCAGGGGGGTGCTGTTGGCTGATGCCTTAATGTTGGCCAAGGTAGCTGAGGGCTTACTACTGTACCCTCTCCATGACTGGCAGTGCAGGTGTTTGACAGAGAGCTAACTCAGCACAGGGTCATCTCCAAAACCAGTAGGATGCACCAGGAATGGCTTGAGTTTGGCAGGCTGTATTGTGCTCTTCTGCGGCAATCAACAGGCTACATCGATGTGAACAGCCCAGAGATTAAAAAGCAATTTCTTCCTAGGATCTTGGTGATTAGGGAGGTGAATGGGCTCCCACCGTGTGAGGTCACGTTATTCTCTGTCTTCCACGTCTGTTTGTCTAGTAGTCGATGCAGGTAAAAGCACATACGTGGGCAGTTACCGCAGAGCAGCCACACAATTACATTTTTCACCCTTGCTCATGCAATTTGCTGATAGCTTTCAGGTGTCTGAAAATTTAAGTATGAATTCTCTTGGCACTGTGTTATCATACTGGTGCTGCTTAAAGAGATTTAGCTAAGAAAGCAAATGGTGGAGATGTGCGTTTTGTTTTCTAACTTTGACAGCGTTACCTGGAAGGTGCTGCAGTGATTGAGGGCTGAGCATAATAGCTTTGAGGTTTTTCTGCACCCATCTGTCCCAGGTTGTTACTTTTTTAACTTTGTGGGCTATTAAGATGTGTGAACTTAATCTTGCATACTTCCCTTTAGACACCCGGGTTTGACTGACATCAAAAAACTGCTTGGATTGTTATTGACAGTAAGGTACACATGTAGGAACAAAAAACGTAACAAGTTGTAAGCTCAGGTGCACAGTGAAAATGTCACTGTTCAGTCTGATGTTGGCAGTTGCAGCTTGTGGCTTTTTTAGTACCAAAGTGCCCTGTGGAGCCCATCTGACAGTGCAGCCTGCGTGACACGAGCCTTCATGTCCTTTCATAACAGCACAATGTAATCACTGTTTTTGTTCTTGTGCAGCCACACATTCCCTTGTAAGCGCAAATTCAAATGGGAGGAACATGAAAGTTAATTTGAAATGAAATGCACCCCAAGTCATCTCAGGGAAATGGAGACACTACTTTGTAGCCACCCTTCTCCTGCCAAAACTGCAGCACCCCAGATGTCAGGAAGCCACGCTGCGCTCTTTGTCTAGTCTTGATTGACTGGATTGTTTTCATCCAAGCCTTTTTAAAGTTTTCTCCCTGCCTCCATATTTTTAAGGAGTAAAAAGCTAATATAAGGACATGGAGTGTTATGAAGCATGAAGTTCTATAAATATTTATGCTGAACTATCAAAAAACTTGACAGTTCTTATTTTCCTGACAGATTGGGGTCACTTGTTATTTTTGACCCTGAGAATTGAAGAGCATATGAAGTTAGATCTGTTTGTAATGACTTTTGGATATTGTTGTCTGGTAAACTTGTAGGAATGTAACACAATAAGGGACTTTTTCTTGGTTTCTTAGTGAAAATGGAACTTAAACCTTGTACTGTGTTACCCAGAAACGACCACTCCAGTTACTGTCTCTGTGCAATCTAGCAGTGAATTCCTGAACTTTCTTTGGCACATGTGGGTTTCTGAGTTAGCAGCTTAGTTTGCCTCTTCAGATGGACAGCTTTCACCTAGGTTGCTCTTGACTTGAAGTACTCGGTGATCACCTTTACATCTAGCGACGAGGCTCATTGCAGTGTGTTCCTGAGCCTGGCACAGACTGGGACCGAGGAAGGCTAAAAATCTGTTGAGAGCCTGTGGTGTTTCTGGTGTTTTGCCTCCAGTCCCAGCACTGCTTTAAGTATCTCTGGAGCCAGCTGAAGGCAAAATCTTCTTAAGAGTTTAAGTGCTGATAAACAGGTGTTTTCTAAAGAGATGAGAGGCTTGTAACTCTCCGGCACATCAGGATCCTCATTCCTCAAAATTATGTGCGTACAAGCTTAACTCCTACCTGAAGCTGTAGTTGCAGGTAAGCATTTTAGAGCCAGGTTTGACTTTTTCAGAAAAGCTGGAGCTTTGTGGTGGCAGCCACATTATTACATCCAGCTGCAGGGGCCTTTCTTGCCTAGTAAATTCATTGTGTAGGAAAGAATCAATCCAATGCTTCACCTCGAATGAAATCCAGTGTGTGGTTTAAGGTGAACCTTGAATATATTGTGTGCATCTAAAGCTAACTGGAGCGTCTCTTGCTGTCAGTTACTAGAGGGCACAAAGGAACTACCTAGGAAAGAAGTTCGTTCTTCATGTCTTGGCTCTCCAGTTTACATCTGTGAAAGTGAGGGGAAAAATTCCTGTGGCTGCCAAAAGACAGGATGGCTCCAAAATTTTGGTTTCATCAGTGATTTTCCCCACCCAAATCTACTTCTGGTTTGGAAGTTAAAAATTTCAAGGGTACTTCCATTTTTTTTGTTAGTACAATTTTGTGTTCAGAAAGTACATAGGTCTCAGAGGAAATACATAAACTGCTCATAAACAGCTTTTAAGTTCAACTCGTATAATTACAAAAAATATTTCCTCATTTCTCAGGTTTCTATACTTGGAACAGTCTCTAAATATGACAGCTATATGAAGAGTATGGCAGCAAAATGAGTTGCTTTCTGAACCTACGGTTCTTTTGCAGGTTGCATGCCTCATACGGGTTCCATCTGAGGTTGTCAAGCAAAGGGCCCAGGTTTCTCCTTCCTCGAGTACCCTCCGGATTCTCTCCCACACCTTGTATCACGAGGTGAGTTCAGAGCAAAATTTTAAAGAAGTTGCTTCATTCTTCCCACTCAGTGCCATACGTGTCCTGAAGCATTCCTACTTTATTCCAGTTCTGTGCTCTCCAGCACTTTTCCATCTATTCTTCTGTTGCTAAAAGCAGCTGACGTGTTATGTTTAAGGACAACGAACCCCCATCTCCCCCACATGCATGCACTTCCATGTACACTCTAAGCAACCCTTTTTCCTCCTCTTTTTGTACAGGGTATCTACATAAAAAAAAAATGAAAAAAACCCAAACAACAAAAAAACCCCACCCAAAAATCCAGGGATTTAACTTTCCAGTTTCCAAAGCTCTATTTGTATTTATGCAAACAGCCCTTGTCTGGGACAACAGGACATCAAATCTCTGTATCTAGAGGCTGCTGCATGGTTTCCAGTTTTTGAATCAGGCTTTGGGACGGATGTCTTAAAGGCACCATTTCAGAGAGGCTCTGTAGGAGCTCTGGAAATGACTGTTCTTCTGGTATTAGTAACTTTTGAAAAATAAGGGCTTTTGTCATATTTTCAGTACTTAACACTGTTCCTTCCTGTAAAACCGGTTCACCACTGTTTTTACTGAGCCTCACAAGGGGTGTTTTTCAAGTTGTATTCTGTAAGACAAAGTGGCTCCTGAAAACACTGTGTGGAAAAATATCATACACATTTCTGTGTGTAAAAGCCAGGAAAAGGAAGACATAAATATGGCCTTTAAATGATCCGTTCGGTTTTTGTTTGCTTGTAAATGAAAACTATTGTGATAACCCTGCACAAGAGGGTCCCTGGGTCTTCTTTCTGTGATTTGGTCATTTTGGTCTAAAAGCTAGTGCTCTCAAAACCCTACGTTTTTTCCCTTCTTTGTAGCTGGCCAGAGAACCATAAGTCTTGCCAAACACTGGAATAAACTGTCCTATAAGTTATTAAATACAATTTTATATGGACTTAAACATCTATTTTTAATTGGTATAATGTTATCAGCTGGTTAAAAATACAAAATATTTGTTTTGATAAAAGCTCAGAATCAAGGCTAAGAAGGTGGACATAGGAAGCTGTCATCCTATGTGTTCATTTTGCATGAGTTTCAAAATATTTATGGGATAGTGGATATTTCTAGACCAAAATATTGGGCAAGTAAGAGTTTGAAGTAATATGTTTCTGTGCTTTCTTGCCCTTTTAATTTCAACTGTAAGGGATATTTTCTTCTTTGTACCTGATTATTCTGAACAGTGGTTAAATGATCTTTGAAATTAACATGAAACCCTTCAGCATTGTAAATCATGGAGTACAGTATACAGTGTGATAATCAATATAGTCAATTTGCAAGAAGTTGAGGTCTGACACTCAGGCTGTAATGCTTGCCTTGTAATCACCAATAAACTGTAGTCTTTGGAAAACTAATTCTATATAACTGATGCTTTCTTTTGTTGGTTTACAGGGTATTCAAGGACTTTATCGGGGTTATAAAAGCACAGTATTAAGAGAGGTAAAACACTTGTCTTTCTCCTTTTTTTAATTGATTCCTTTGCCTCACTTCTTTTTTGTTTTCTAACAAGAGGTAGTAGTAGTACAACTGAGATCAATTGCTCTAACCATAAGCTTTAAATCCTAGTGTATTTCATTCTAGATAAGTTACCAGCCTGTAATTTAAATAGAATACTGATAATGTGCACTAAGAAAACCAATGGTACCTGCAAAAAGTCCTATAAAGTCTGTCGGTGTTGTTGCTGCTAGATCATAAAAGAATGGAAATGTGTATGTTAACATGATCAAGCCATAAAACAAAGTACTGGAAACTTACTCAAGTCTTGTGATTGCATCATGTGAAGTATGTATGCCAACAATGGTGAACTGGTGGCATCAGGCCAAGTTTGGCACAGACAGATTTAGGCTTTCTTTAAATGTGTTTGTCAGCAGATGCTGAGAGATTCTGTCATCTCTGTGTATATAAGGAGGATTGTGCGCATGCTCTCTTTTTTTTTTTTTATATGTGAAAGAAATGCATTTAGTCATCCAGTCTGTGGCTGTGATATGGCATTACTTAATTCTAAATCAGAAGTAGTTCACTGTTGGAAAAAAAAACTGGAGCTAAAAATATTTTGGCCTGCTTGGCAGAAAATAGTTCCTAAACTAAAATCTCTTCATAAACGTCCTGTGAATTACAGGATTAGTGTCTTGGAAGTGTTTGATGTGCTGTGTGGACTGAAGGCAGATTATAAAAGAAAGAGAAAAACATACTGATGAACTTCCAATCTAAAAGTGTTTCAGTCTTTTGACAAGCAGAAGTTACACCACAAGTACTTCAAATAAAGAGAGAAGTCTCAGTTCCTATGAATAACAGCTATTGTCCAGGAAAGGTTCTTTACTTGCTGTGTTCAGCGTGATACATGTGGGTTTGTCCTCTTCTTATGTAGTTCAACTGAGTAAACTAGGTTTGGATCTTTGCTGCTTTTGTTTTTTAAACACAGGATCAGATCTGTTGGCTGTGTTGCCATTGGTAATGAAGCTAGTTGCAGAGGCTTTTTAAGCCTTCATTCAATAACTCGGCTTTTAAAAGTGTTTCTTCATGCTGAAAACTTTTTAGGACAGTTATGTCAGCCGGATCTTGTTGCAATATGGAATAAAGATGGATACTACCTAAAATAAGAAATACCAAATTTAGTGTTCCTTAAAGGGCTGACACATGACAATGAACTACTGTCTATTTTAGCAGTTTTGAGTGTTTAAAAATCAGTTATTTGTGCAGAGGTGACACCTGCTTTTCTGAAATATAACCCCCACCATAGCTTTGTCCTGTGCTTATTTTCTGGCTCGCTAAACACGTGTTATTCACTCAGATTTCATTTGGAGACAGGCAAAAAAGGTCAACGAATCATTTTGATTTCTCTGAGGGGTTCTGAATAAATGAATAAATTTAGATCCCGTTGAATACAGATTTTGCATACTAACAGGTAGGTAAAACACATGGTTACTACTGGGTGCTATTCTTAAAATTTGTTTTGACGTATGTCAGGGTGGTAATTAATTTGCAGACCATATTCATGGCGTAGTGTGTGACCCTGCTGAGATAACTTTGTTTGCTCAAAATGGCAGCACTTTGTTGGAAATTTAATGGGGGTCCTCTCCATTATGTATATTCATAAAAGATCCTTCAGAACTGATTTCAGTTGAAGGATTGCTTTTTGGGAGAACCTGTCCAATAGAATAATAAATAAATGATTACCAAATGAAATGTGCTTTCTCTTCAAAATGAAACAAATCATAGGAGATGTTTAAAAAAAAAAATCTTTAACGCTGTTAAGACCATTGCATTTTCTGACACTAAATATGGTAAAGCAATGTCCATTCAAGTAAGAACAGCATATTTAACCTTCAGCTGGATCTGTTGTAATCCTGACGTTTAATCTTGGTATTTTCTCTTCTTTTTAAGCACATTTCTTCCTTTAGTGAAAGTCTTTATTTTCAGTTAAAAATATAGATTAATTCATTCATCCAGGTAGCTGCATAGCATATATAGACTGATATTGAATTCTAGCTGACTTTTATACTGAGTTTGTTTATATGCTTTGGTTCTTTACATACACAAACCCCTTAATTTAGTTGCAGTCGGGTGGGATTTTTGGATAGACGGGCTTCAGTGCATAATTTTTCATTTAAAAAAAAATAATTGGAAGAGGCTGGGAGCATTGATGCTTTTCAGATGATGATATTCTTACACTGGCAAAAATTCTTGAGCCAGAATTTAAGCAAGGTTAATTTTAGTTGTTGCATGGGGATGAAATTTTGTGTTTTACATAAAGCATATTTCGGTGCCTGGACAGAGATCTGCTTTCCAATTGCTTGGACTTAGGTGAAAATGAGTCTGATTGTTTATAAAGAGAGTGCAATGTTAAAACCTTGTGTTTTTACCATAGCATAGTAGATCTTTTCAAGACAGCCTTATTCTGCTCCAGATAATCTGCATTAGCTGCTATTCTGTTTCACTTCTGGTGTGAGGTAGTTGTTTCATCCTTCATTTTTGATTTTCGTTGTTTGACTTATATCCCCTGTATCTTCTCATCAGAATACTTTTTGTACAGGTGAATATTAGAAGAGAAAGAAGATGGCTAAATATGTAATGCTTTTGGAAATAACTTTGAACCTCGATGCTTGGGAGTTTTGGCTGTGACTCTTTCACCTCCCTCCTTTTTGGTGCCTCTTCTCTCACATCACCATTACATTTTGGTCTTTACATTTTCCTTTGATGTAGTTACAGTGAATTAATCCTAAAATTGAAAGGGAAGTGAGGTATAGTGCATCATTCTGTTGGCAGTAGTAGCCTGAAAGAGACATCCATGCTCCAAGAGGAAAGATTTTGTGATAAAACACAAAGTAGAGTATGGTTATTAGGTTGCTGAATGAGACTTTGAATAAATGGCAGAAATCGGAGGCTGTGAAATGATGTGGAGTTCCCATGATGTCATTCCCAAAGCAAATCCAAGTGAGGATTGTCCTTTCCTACGGCTGTCATGCACCAGTGTGCACTGGAGTAGAAAGTGGATCATGCTACTTAGAGCAGTCAATGAACAGGTAAATTTATTAATGTTTTCCACAACAGAGACAAGTTCATTTGTAAAATCTCCAGCCATCGTATAACAAGGCAGGAGCAGACTACCAATCCACTGTAAATCCTCTAGAATTTCTTAATGGGAATGTAGTTCTGCTGCTGAGAGCTTATATAAGCAAATGGAGCCAGATTTTTAATTCCTGCGTAATTCATTTTATTAACTATGACCAAGTAGAACATCTGTTAAAATTCCATAATGTTCAGTTCATGGGAAAGACAGAAACCCCCAAGTTCCTGTTGGATCTTTTCCATTTCCATTGATGTTTCAGGACTCTAGCAGATGTCTTAAAGGACATAATTATGAATGAGAGGACAACTAAAAGAAAAGGAAGTGCCTTGTCCAGTTTCCCTGTGTACAATAGCTCACTGTACAGTGAGTTACTTCACCCTCTGTGTGCAGGTTGCAGTTTTGCACAAAAAGAGCCACAGTTAACTGTTCTGTCCCTTCTGTTGTGGGGTACCATAGTTTGGAAGAACTGAGTGGGTCCTGAGTGGGCGTTCTGTGTGGTTTTAATCTAATTTGTCACTTTTAAAAATATTGGCAGATGGACTGGGCCCTAGCCCAGAAGTAGATTCAGAAGGCAGTAAAACTAATATTAAACTCTACTTTGTAAAGGGGATGGAGGATGGCTAGCTCTTCATAATTCACAGATGTCTTGAAAGGAGACAATTGCTTTCAAATGTCAGCCTTTGCTGTGCAGGTAGCCCTGAGTAAGCTTGTCCTCTGTGTTGCCTCGTAGACTTTTCTGAGACAAGTCAGGCTCTCTGCTTGTGGTGGCCTCTGTTCAGGTAGAGGTGTAGTGATGCTTTACTTGACAGTGTTGTTTCAGAACCCATTTCTGAGCTCTGAACTTGAAAGAAAACTACTGATAAATCTGAACCCACTCTTGTACAGCATGCTGTTGATCTTACTTTCAGGCTAGTTGTCACTTTTGGGAGTCCTAGTTTTTTAGTACAATTGTGGGTTGGTTTGGATTTTTTTTTTTTGCCTTTTTCCCTTTCACTGTATGCAAGTCAGAGCCCTAAGTGGATAAAGGCAGCTACTGCTGTCCTAGGAGGGAGAGAGCGCTCCTTACTGTATTAATTTGAGGAGAAGGACATCCAGTTCAAAGTATGCTATTGCATTAATGAGTGGCAGCAGTGTGACAAAGGGGCAACAAATTCAGGCTCTTCCCAATCTCAGAAAGCCAAGAGGTAACACCGTCTCCTGCAGAGGAGGTACTGTTTGTTGTGTGTATGCTGCAGAACTAGTATCCTGTTACAACATGTGTGTCAAAAGGGGTATGGAGGATACGCAGTGCAGCCTGTGCAGATGAAGAAGGAGCTAGCAGGAAAAAGACGAACAAAAAAAACCCCTTCTTAATTTACTTACTACCTGGGAGAGGGAATCTAAAGCAACTAGCAGCAAAATGGACCTTAAAGGCACACCTGCTGCATTTTCCTAAATTTAAAGGGTCAGTGAACAAAGGATGCTGAGAAGGGTTTGTATAAAAATGTGAAATCCAGCTGAGATATGTTGACCCTGTTGACCGAGGGAGGGAAGGGATCTCTGAGGGCTGAGCTCGATAGGGAACAGTCTGCAAACAGGGAGCCTAGTTTGTTTATCCACTAGAGGTAGTTTTGCATGCTTTTCTTTTGTTAGGACATCTTTATATAAATATCCTGTTCTCCTAGCTGTTAGAGGTTTTTTTAAGTTTATCTCTGTTGCTGTAGGACAGAAAGAATGTTATTAATACATTCTTTTACTTGCACAATTAAAACTTTGATCTTCTGTCGTTCTCGGTGTATTACAGAGCAGATGTCGATAGAAATAGGCAAACAGGACACTATCTTAATACAATATTTGGAAAAATAAACATCCTCCTTAGTGAAATATGTGA